CTATAAACTTGGCAGAACATCCTTATATATTTGTATGGACGATTCTGCTGTACAGCCTCCCTGCATGGCCATGAGAACAGTAGCCACTAGTTCCATGACACATACCGCGGTGTCATTGTACCAAGCAGGACCGTACTGGATTATTTATCATTCTTTGTCTTTGTACGCTATGAAATATTATTCACTTGCAGAAGTCAACGGTTTTCGCGCCCTTTGATATGGCCGCATTAGGTTCTATCTAGCGAACAGACACAGACCGGATGCTATTACCCCTCTACCGGTGAAGGGGATAGGCCTATCAACTCACAACTGATAGGGTTCGAGCATACGGCACCGAGTAGTTCTTGAGTAAATTTCTTATGCCTAGTGCGGCAGTGTTGTGGCGCGCTTCCCCCTATGTACCTAGATTGATCGCTTGTATCAGCCTCATCTACACCAACTTTATCACAGTCTTCAATTGTCTCCATTCAGCTTCTCAAGCTTTCCACATTCAAAGATATTACTTCGCTCTGAATCAGCTTTGTGTACAACATGAACCTTTCCGACTTGCGCATTCTATTCGATTGTGTTTGGGGTGATTTGCGACCTGGAGATGGGCATCTTCCAAGGCTTAAGAAAGAGCTCACATTATACCAGAAACTGGCGGGTTATTTCTGGCAGATCGTGGAGCTGGTGGATCCGACATTATTTTTCCCTAAGAGATTTCCTCTGGCATTTGATCGAATGTTTCTTAGTCTTCCCACAAGCTCTGTCATCCGCGCTGCCGACAGAAAGGATCCTTTCGCTTCATTTCAAGGAGATGTAAGCCTTGAAGATCCGGCCCTGGCCAAAGAATATGAGTTGAGTTGTTTATTGGCTCATGTGCAATGGCAGAGCGCTATTGAAAGTGGAATCTCTCCTCTAAAGCGCTATATTAGCCCATTTCCTGAACAACCTGTCGAAAATACTACTGTCACTATTTGGCGGGAAAAGAAGGGAAACGAATGGAGTACTAAGACTATGGGCGCTAGCATGTTCCTTGTCGCAGGAACTCTGGCACCAGAACTAGGTATGGGAGCGGAACCTCAATTCGTTTCTTCTATACACCTTCTCTGGGAGAAGGATTACCTTCAAGTAGTTTGGGAGACAAGTATCGGTTCATTGATCAGTACATGGGCGATTGTGGGAAATTTTATCTGGAGCGGCGTAGCCGATGCTGGCTTGTTACAAGCTCTGTTGGATCTGCCCGAGGGCCCCGGATCCGATACACTAACACAGTTCACAGTCGACAAAGTATGTACTACTACCCTCAATGCGGGCACTACGAAGTTTGGACATTGGAAAGATCGAAGGGAGGTGCTTCCATGCGCTTCTAAATGCTTCCACTGGTGGTCACACTCTCATTCCGTTCAGTGGCAGCGAAGGATCGAGCATAGTGCAAGGAGCAGAGTGGTAGATTACGACAAGACGATTCCGCGACTGTTCAGGAAAGCTGGAGCTCCTTTTCAGGGAATGGGCTTTTTCTTATCAGTAGTACAATCTACTGACAACAAGATGATGCCAAAACCAACTCTGTACACAGCTCCACCGAATGTGGCAGAAGAGATTCAGCAAAAGGGGGGGGACTAGTATCTTTTCCACCCCTAAGTTCGGTCGCGTACAACAAAGCATCTTCGACAAATGGAACTTTAGGACTAAGCCCACGAGCGTTCCAATACAACTGTGCGATACTCACGACAACTTCAAACTGGTAGATACCAGACTGGATGATTTTCCTCTTGGATCTGACTATGCAGCAATCTCTTACACCTGGGGGGACTGGACGGACAAAAATGAACTCCACTTAGAAATCTTGGAAGTGGTGAAAGAGATAGGCACTCGATACGCGTGGGTCGACGCTTGGTGTATAAACAACGATACGAGGGCAGATGAGATACCCAGGATGGGCGAATATTATGCGAATGCCTCAGTCGTTATCGTTTTATTGCCCGACGTGGCTAAACGCACAGCTTATACAAATCTTACACATGGTGCGCCTTTCAACTTACGCAAAGCTCGGGCGGACGATGGAGCTCTAGGGCAAGCCATTTTGAGGAGTACTTGGCGGTCACGGGTCTGGACGCTTCAAGAAGGTTTATTGGCACAGAATTGCATTGGCAAAACTCGTGACCAGATGCTTGACGGTGAATATCTCGATCATCTACTACACTTCCCCGAACATTGCATGTTTGCTCAATACGCCAGCCTAGGCCACACACACTCATTGCACTCTCCGGTCACCAATGTTCGGGGCTATTGGAAAGAAGACGTACTAAATGCATACAACTGCACTTTTGGTAATAGACTTTAGTGGCATACGGGGAGCCAGAGCGCCGTGAGTGGCGCACATAAGGCAAGCTTGCTCGAGGTTCTGAAAATGGGTAATGGACGCCGATGCAAGGTGCCTCTTGATTCCTTGATCGGTCTACTGGGTCTTGTTGACGGTCCCACCCTACCTCCGATGAGTGCTGAAACGGCACAATGGAGTTCTTTATGGACGACGCTGATTCGATCTGGTACAGTAGGAATTGATGTGCTCCGTGTTGCTAGCGCATGTCAGGAAACGGGTATGTGTTGGGCACCAGCACGAACTACTGATACAACACCAATAGAGATCGGAGGAATTGATGGCGAGATGCAAGCTCAGAGTATCAATGTAACGGATCATGGCCTTGAGGTGATGGGCACACCCGTCGAGGTAATTATTGGTGAAAAATCCGAACAAGGGCTCAGACAAATCCCGAACCAAAGAGATATCGCCATTGTAGTGGATCATGGGAATGAGATCAAAACCCACGGGCAGGTATCTGCCAGTGCGGGAGACAAATTCATTGGCATCATTCTTGAATCTCAACCAGGTGACAAAGGGGTTACAGTCCTGCTTGGAGAATGGACAGATAGTATTAGAGATACACGATTGTTTTATAGGCATACTTCTGTGAATGTAGTCAGGGTACTAAAACTAGTAAGAGCAGTACAAGCAGTACAGCAGATTCAGATTACTATTGGATTGTCCTAGATTAAGGTACATAGTATAGAGTGGTACAGTAACAATGCTTGAATACCTGATGGATATGCACGACTGCTTTGAAGTAACACAGTCTCTCAGGAATTAGGCCTAGAATAGGCTGAGATGTTTAGAAACATTGCAATACAATAATCAGGCAATACCTAGATACTATTTAGCTGTAGTATTTAATTTTAACTTTGGCAACGAATGTTTTTCGCATGTCATCTGGGCTGTATGCATAGACTGAGAGGGGCTAGGCATTGAAAACTCTTCTGCGCCTATCCTTATGGTTAGTAATTTAATTCATATGTTGCTAGGGATGCAGAGAGAACGTACTCTTATTAGAGACCTTTATTACTGCACATGTACGACCAGGAAGTGTTGGGTGAATAACATAGATCCCATTATCTTAAGAGTTGGAAAGCTCCCCTCTAGACGGCAAGGACTTGTCATCTCCACCATCGTTATATACGCCGTTGTCGGATTCGTCGCTGTTGTCTCCGCCGCTATCGTCTCTGTTGGGAATTACGGGAAGGGTCACAGAGTCAGTAACTCTAGTGACCCTGTTCTTGCGCTGATGAAGCTGTTGTACTGTACTCGTTTGGCTTAAAGCGTTGTGATTGATTCGAGGGATTCTAGCCTGGTCTGGCGTTGCATAAGCCTTTTTTAGTGAAGGACGAGAGCTTGCTATTAGAAGTGACGCGGGCATATGAAACGAAGAGATAGGAAGCAGCTCTAGTGTGGAAAAAATGAAGCTCGCATGTGTCACGGATCAGTATCCTAGGGAACTAGATTAATTAAAGGATCAAGTAGTTACAATTAGATTACTAAAG